AGCATTAGCATTAGCATCTGTAACCACAGGTCTGTGTGCTAACCATTAAGTTGTTATCAGAGTAAATCCCTGTTCAACATGAGTCTGACAACTAAGTAAGTAGATAAATAACTTTAAACTTTAGGACAGGCTCTGATAGGCCGGGATCAGATCAGAAAGCTGGATGTGACCTCTGACCCTAGTAGACTGTATGTTGATGTCTTCATGTTGTGCTGAAGGCTGTGATGAGGATCCCTCTGACCCTGTTAGGTCCTGGCTTTCCCAGAACCATTCCACTCTAAAATGAAGCTGGTTTTACCCGTTTAGTCGTTCGGGGGCTTCTGACTGGAAACCAGCTGTCAGAAGTCTTTTGGTCCAAAGTTAAGGACAGTTTTAGACTCCAGCTTTTATCCATTTTTATCACAGATCAGGTGAGAACAGAACCTGCCTGCCCAGGTGTGGAACCCCAGAGTCCCTCTGTCTGTGTTGATGTCCCTGAACGCACCATCCCACCATTTGGGGAGGTTTCAGGAGCTAAGCTGCTCCGGCTGGGTCCTCCGCCTGGGTCATGTGACCGGAGCTCCTCGCTGAGGCTTTAACTTTCACTTAGCAACTCTCTTCCTTCCTCTGCCTCCACAACAGATTAAGATGACAAATTTGTTTACAGCTCAGAGTAATTTCCCACAAACTCTCCGGGCCGTGATCTTCCTCCAGAGACGAGTGGGCCGGTTCAGGGTCAGGCTCTCTGTCCGGCTGCCGGCCAGCAGAGGGGAGCGTTAGTTTAGGTTTCCTGCTCTTATCTCCAGCAGGCGTCTTTGTTTCATTACAGAGGAAACCCAGAGTGTTTATGTGCACACACTGGAGGAGTCCTACAGGAAAACTCCATGTGCAGGGAGAGGTCAGAGGTCAGACTTTGGCTGACGTCCTGTAATTGAGAACATTTACGCTCACAAATCTGCACCTAGCAGATGCTTTTATCCAAAAAGAGGCTTTAACCTTCAGCTCCAGTCCAACTCGGTAAAAAAAGTCTTACATGGCCAGCGCCCCCTACAGGTTGGTCTGGACTCGTCTCACCTGTTTCATGTCCCTATGCTCCTAACCACAAAAGTTCTGGATCAGGTCTGAACCCATTGTAGGGGGTTTCTGTCCAGTGGACCTGGTGTTTCTCAGCTGTGGGGCCCCACAGGGCTCCATCCTGGTTCTGCTGGGCTAAAGCTGTGACTGTGCGTTTCAGTGGAGAGGCAGTCGTCTGGTGCTGTCGGGGGGGCTGTGGAGGTCAGAGGCCACCGGTCAGCATCTAGCTCCATGAGCAGGAAGCAGGACGGGGCGCTTCCGGCCACCTCATGGCTGAGCAGAGGTGAGCACCCCCAGCCCATTGATGCTACATGCTAGCAGAGGCTTTAGCATTAAGGCTTTAACATCCAGTTAGAACACAGATTCTATAGTTAGCATCCATTCATGCTACATGCTAGCAGAGGGTTTAGCATTAAGGCTTTAACATCCAGTTAGAACACAGATTCCCACAGCTAGCATCCATTGATGCTACATGCTAGCAGAGGCTTTAGCATTAAGGCTTTAACATCCAGTTGGAACACAGATTCTATAGTTAGCATCCATTGATGTTGCATGCTAGCAGAGGGTTTAGCATTAGGGCTTTAACATCCAGTTACAACACAAATTCCCACAGCTAGCATCCATTGATGCTACATGCTACCAGAGGGTTAAGCATTAAGGCTTTAACATCCAGTTAGAACACCGATTCCACAGCTAGCATCCATTGATGCTACATGCTAGCAGAGGCTTTAACATCCAGTTAGAACACAGGTTCCACAGCTAGCATCCATTGATGCTGCATGCTAGAAAAAGGCTTTAGCATTAAGGCTTTACCATCCAGCTAGAACACAGGTTCCACAGCTAGCATCCATTGATGCTGCATGCTAGCAGAGGCTTTAGCATTAAAGCTTTAATATCCAGTTGGAACAGTTTGGATGGGCCTGAAAGGTTCTGATGGTCCAGAAGGACTGAGCTGGTTCCTGTTGTGTTTGCAGGCTTGGAGGCAAACCTGAGGGCCAAGTGGGAACAGGCTCTGGGTCCCCAGTACCAAGTTCTGGTGAGCCCCCTCCCACTCCTCCCTGGGCCCGGCAGCAGAACCGGGCCTCAGCTGTGTGTGCTCCCTCAGGTGGTGCAGCTGGATCCGGTCATAGAAGACGACGCAGAGCTGCAGAGGTCCTCCAAGGTGGGGACCGAACACAGGTCCAGTCACACGAACCAGAACCAGAACCAGAACCGGGTCTGAGCTCTGACTGTGTCCCCAGCTGCTGCCCATCCACACCCTGCGGCTGGGCCTGGAGCTGGACTCCTTCGATGGGCACCACTACGTCTCCTCCGTGGCCCCCGGGGGCCCCGCCCACCAGCAGGGGGCGCTCAGGCCCGAGGACGAGCTGCTGGAGGTGAGG